TTCTTCTTTTCTATTTCTTTCATTAACTACTTTGCTACAACATCTATATCATCGTAATATTTTCTACCATGTAAAAATAGATACCAGTATCAATCATCATTGAGAAAACAGTTTAGTTATGAGAGAAGAGGGAAAAAACCGATATCAAATGGAGTGATGATATTCTTGGTACGAGTAGAGAAAGGCTTATCATTAACCATTTGAAACATAAGCGATATATTATTTGGACGCCATAGATATATAAATACACATAAACATCCGCTCATATTCATATCGATCTTGTTGAAACGTCATTAACAGAGGTAAGCTTGGATGTTATTTCCGTCTTGTCTCTCTTACCACCATCAACGTTCATTGTATTAGAAGAAATTAAAAAATTATAAAGAACTTTAGTTCAGTTCAATACTTCAATATCGATATCTATCAGTACCTTCGATATTGACTAGAAATCTACCAAATTCAAGTCATTTGTGAGTTGGATTTAGGCTTGGCCTAATAATTTTGGGTTCAGATGCGAGTCTAGTACCTGAACTCACTAAAATATCTCAGTTTCAGTATAATTCCGTTTCTCTCTCTTAGTTTCTGTATATTCAAAATATTTTTTATGTAAATACGAGCAAAAACGTATTTCGATGTTTCAGAGTGTCATGTATCAAAGTCAAATTATTTGATAAATATAAGTACTCGACCAGTATGACATCTTATTTTCGTATTCACTTTTTCGAGGTGCTTTTCTGGGCTTTTGGTGTAAATCCTAATAGTCGCTTGGACGTGAAATTGATATTTTTATCGACTCCTTAAAGAAAGCATTCATAAATATAAGACAATTTTCTAATTCCATTTCTGATCCCAAAACACCATTTCCGTAACAGTGAGGTTTTTCTAAACAGAAAGGATGACATAAAGTCATCAGCAACTTAGTAGTCTTCCCTATAATAGAGGAATCTTTTCCCATAAATAATCAACCAATTTTCCTAGGATAAACGAAGAAAAATATAGATTAGGAGATCGAGTCTCACGATTAATTTTTTAAAATAATTCCTGCAATTTATTTTTGGTTTTTAGCGCTTTTGTACCTGCTGATATTTAAGTTTGGTCTGGACGATATTTTGCGTCCATCATGTTAGCGTTGTCAGTATCCTCTTGAAGAAAACTCGGAAAAGCTTTTTCTTTTATTATTTGCAAAAAAGTAAGTTCTGACATTTATTGAACATGACTATTATGGAACATGTTACTTTAAAAGAAGTCTTTTTCAAATAGAACACATTCATTATAAATGTGTCACATAGTTGAAATGCGTGTTCGGACAAAGTATTCTAAGCATGAATTCGATCGCGCGTTCCTGATTCAGAAGATCAAATTCTTATCTGATCAAAACATGTGTCTAAGGGCACATGCTCAGGTGTAGAATTCACTTCATTTTTGAGAAAAAATACTAAAGTATTTTTCAGAGAGGGGTTTCAAATAGGCTAAACATATTAGATAAAGTTGATACAGTCATCTTTTTCTATAAACTCTTTTTTGACCGATAATCAGATTTACTCAAGTAAACGATGAACTAATAACTAAGTTCGCAGTACATTTTACTGTGAATGGAGTTCATCTATACTCATCAAACCTAAAATTAAGCAGCTGACTTAAATAATATTGATTCAAAGAACTAAACTTTTTCTGTCTTTCTGTTGTTTAGCTATTTGAAACGAGGAATACTGGAAGTGATTGATCTTATTATTGAGAAGGACGAATATTGCTATAAATCGCGTCAAGCTTTTAGGATCTGGCTGACTGTATTGATCTAAGAATACTCTTCTTACGGACGAACATCTTTCTTTGTTTTGCACTCATGTACGATCTGTTTCTTTTCGTTGTACGAGCGCAAGATAATTAACGTAAATTCATTTCTTAATGGTATATAGACAAAAAAGCTTCTAACTACAAACTGTCATCGAAACTATCAAGATAATGATATTTTTTAGGGACACAACGGCAGACCTCTTGTAACCTGTGAACAATAGGGCTCTCAAGTTTTTTAATATATATAGAGACCTTTAGTTTTTTTTTCAAAGACAATAAAAATACTCTTGAAGGAGCCTTGCTCTTGAAGGAAAATATGAGAATGTCGACAAAAACCTTCTTTCACAGATAACGATTCAATAGTCATAAGATCTAATAGAGCTCTGAATGTTAATCATACATAAACGGTCAAGACTCAAACTCGGTTATAAACTGGCAGAATCACATAAATATCCCAGTTGTCCAACTAAAGATACGTATGAAGTATTTCACCATAGTTCCATCTAAAACGAGTTAGGCTCAGTCCAAAAATAGTATAGGTAAACATCAAATTTTGAGCGTAACTTTATGTTGCAAGACTCAAAGTTATATGCACACTACACAGCTTTGTTATCACTGGAGTGCTCGAACCATTTCGAATACCTTAATTGATAGTTAAACATTGATACTAGCTATTTTCGGATGTCATGCAAAGTTTTGTTTCCCAACCAACATACAGATCACCTGTTCCTTTTTACCATATAATAGTGCTAATACTGGGGCTTCTTTTCACCTACTAGAATCCAATTTTCAAACAATTCTTTTTTGGAAATTCATCTTAAGACTTTGTAGACACATGAAAGTCTCAATTAGACTTATCTCATGTATCGAGTTTCATCAGTTTTGGGTATCGCATTATCAAGATATGGATTTCTCAATATATACCTATCCTACACAGCACAGGAAGCAAACGGTAAATATATTGAGAAGTCTACATCTTGGCATTACGATAGACAAAACTAACAAAACTTGATACTCGAGATAATCTAACTAAGATTTCCATATGTACAAAGTCTCAGGTCGAATTTCCAAAGGTACGATTTTTTTTCGAAAACTGGACTCCAGCAGGAGGAATCTACTAGAATGTTGTTATGTCCAACAAATCTAAACACGAGAAGGAATCCTTTGGGAATTACAGATTTCTAATGATCTCTTTCACATGAGCAAAATATGGGGTTAAAAGAAGCGGATCATCTTGAAATATTCTCTAGTTAGTCAAGTCAAGGTACGAGAAGTTGATACTGAACAACATCAGGACTTTCTTCATGAGTATTTTTTGCGACAAAAACATCTGTCAAAGAATGACGTAAATACCAAAAAGTTCGATTGAACCCGATTTTTTTCTTTTTAATATTCCAAGCCGATACGTTCAAATTAAGAAGCTTTGTTGTTCTTAAAAACCCTTCAAATTCTTCTTCAGTTGAGATAGACATGCCTTTAAAAAAGACTTCAATTATTATTTCACTTTCAATGTTTATTAATAAAATGTATAGTTTAAATTTATATGTTTACTCACCAATTTAACGAAGCAAGAAAAAAATCCTACTAACTTTTGCATATTCATTATGAAATTAAAAGGTTGGAAAAGACAATAAAAGAAGCAGGCTAATTTTTTGACAGTGATCAAAAGACAAAAAGATGATAAAGGGAAGCGAGAAAGTGACACAACTATGCGATCCTTTGATGCCATTTTATCTTGCGAAAAAAAGCTCTTGCTCACGTAATCGTTATCTACGATTAGTTTTCAAATTCAGATATTGTCAATACTAATGCAAATACGATTGAATAACACCAAAACTATATGAAGAGTCTTAACTAAAGAGTGTCATACTGTGAACGAAACAGAAAACATGAGCGGCAGTTCGCTAATGATCATTACGAAAAGCTAGATCATCGGAATTAAGAATCCAAAAGGGACAAAACTTGGCATTAAATTCAACGGTTAATAGTTATTTTTTACCTACTATAGGTAAAAAGGGGAAATCTTGAACTTAAAATTCACGTTAAAGAAAATGCTGCACGTCTAATATTTGTTTCGTAGCAGTATCCATTGGTTCATTAAAAAGCTACACTTGAGGGCTTGAATATTTCTGTTTATATTGTTCGACATCTTATAATATCCAATTGGCTAGATGTCAAATCAAATAAAAGAAAAAAGACTCAAATATTGTATAGTATTCATGTTTTCTACTGCTAAGCGGACATTATTTCATTGTTTTCGTTATCTAAGTGTCTAAGATCAACTATCTGTCATCAATAAGTGAGAATTTATAAACTAGTGATGTGTTATCATACAACTTCAATTTATCTGATGTAGTGTTGTCGCATTCTACATGACAGAGTAGTTTTCTTTTGGACAACTAGAAGTATATGAATATTTTGCGCAGAATCATTACCCAAAAAGATACAAAACAATTTTTTATCTGTTGTTAGAAAATGCAGTGGTTTCCTGTGTTATTTTTTCTTGGCATGGTAGCACTGATCTTTGGCACTGCTGCACAAGAGGATTCTGAACGTTCTACGACCGCGGGTAGTAATACACAAAGTACTTATAACAATATATGGTTAGAAAAACTGCCAGCAACTAATATCAGTGGATTTAAATACCACGATGGTGAAGTCATTCTGTTACAAAATCAACTAAAATCATCTAATTTTTTCTTTACACGATTTCCATATGTCGAACCGAATTTAACTGTTTGCAGTTACAATGACATGAGTGAAGCCTTGGAACTCAAAATGATTGTTTCGCTCTATACTACGAATTTACTCGAATCCATCGAGCGTCACATTAATAGAACCCATCAAAGTATTTGTCATACTGAACATTGTAAAGTTTCACTTTTACCAATGCACTCGCTCCGTCTCGTTGAAAAAAGACGTCGAACATCAGAGTCTCAAAAAAGATTCATGCTAAATAGTGATTGGCAGAGTAATACACAACTTCTACAAATGGTTGAGTTCATTATCTACACGTCTAATATGTCCATTTGTGAAAGCTTGAAAAATTCAATCCTCTCAGTTTGCGGTTTGCAAAATTTTGAAATTCATTATTCATTATACGGTCAAGAGAAAGCAGCTCGAACTCTTGAAGTGACCACCGAACATGTAACGAAAACGTCGATGTACAATCAAATTAAATCTCAATTTCCTTCAAATCATCAAGAGATCATCGCTTTGACTGGTAATGATTATAAAGAACTCTTGAGTGAAACCATGGACCAAATTACAATAAATTTACAAATTGAAGAAGGTTTTGAAAGCGTACAAGATCCAGTTGCAATCGATCAAATACTCAATCGTCAACTGCAGTATAAGCAAGTACGGATGACACAAGTCGGTGATCAATTTTGGGAATCGCTTTATTGGACGCCTGAGTTAACACGACCCGATCGGTTACCGAATGTACTGAATAAAATTATAGAACAAGATGCTACAGACTCAGACAAATTTCGCTACAATTATTCGCAGCGAGACGAAGCTTTCAAACAAGATTTAAAACTTAATGAGAGACTAAAAATTGACGACTTCAAAAGACACGTAGCGGCAACAGGTAAAGATACTAGGCGTACAACTGATATTGGTGCTCATGGCAGTTATGAATCCGGAGTCAATTTCGCAGGCAAGGTCTAGGCAAATATGAAACCCAATGCGGATGTCAATGTTTTCAATGAGAAAACGAACAAGGAATATAAGCTGAACGATGATACAATTCACTATATATTTGATACGGGGCGATTAAACGACACGTATAATGATAGAAGAAATAATACGATAATAATCCTACGACGAAAAGATGCAGAAAAATTACTTCGATACTTTTCGGAGCACGTTGAACTCGAAGGTGAAATCATAAAACCGAAACCGATCGATGTTGTACTCGTCAAGTTCGACTCATTAAAATCTAACACAAAGCTGTTCTCCAACACGGTTCTTGTGAAAACTCGAATGAACATACATGCTTTACCACTTCGCTGTCCATATAAATATCGTCATCCTTCGTCAGGTACCTGGCTTGAAGAAACATACCATCGCTTATCAAATGTTGTTGACGAATTGCACAAAAATTTAACGACAGATTTGAAAGTGACAAAATCGTCAATAAGCGAAGCTGAATCACGCCTTAATCAAAAACTGGCTCAAAACTTTATGGTAGGTGAAATAAAACTGTACTTCGGTGAAGCATCATCTCTACCATGTAATTGGGTGTTCTGTCACGGACAAACTCTCTCTCGCACCGAATGTCAACGTCTTTTTTCTGTTATCGGTGAATCATTCGGAGATGGAGATGGAAAAACAACGTTCAATGTATCCGATTTCCGCGACCGTTTCCCACTAGGTCACAATCCAATCGGCAGTGGGGTAGACGGTTGGAAAAAAGGATGAAATAAAGAACAGATACTCACAATTGATCAAATGCCTACTCATCACCATAGTGCTGGTACATTACACGCTACCAATGCAGGGACACACACACATACGATTAACGATCCAGGCCATAATCATGGAGGTCACACGGAACGACACTACCAAAAATCCAGTTGGTTAAGTTCAAACCCCCAAGCCTATACCGTCGCCTACGGCACCAATGTCTTCTACGGCGAACATGGATACCATCAGCATGATATTCCAGTAGGAAAAACTGGAATAACCCTCGATAATGATGGCATCCATTCTCATTTAATTCAAGGCTTAACCGATTCGGCTGGTCGTGGAAATTCATTCAGCATTATGCCACCTTATCAGACAATTGCTTATATCATTTTCACTGGAGCGAATTGTGCTTGAAGTGTCGCTGTGTTTGGAAGCCTCCTTTTCACTGATACCCGCATCCCTCACTCGCTCAACCTGACACCATCATACCTCACCCACCGCTTGATGAAAGATATTCATGATTATATATATATGCCAATAAATTTTGATATAGAAGTGGAGGGAAAACCGATCGATTATCTTCGGATGAGTAGGTATTAGCATAATCGTGCTTTCGATGTTCTCTATCCTGAAAGGATGAGTCTTCACAGCATTAAATGTTTGTTTGGATGTTCGCGCCTTCATTGGTGGTATCGGGAACTAATAGAAATCAAGTGAAAAACAGATCAATCTCTCTTTTAAAGAAAAGACAAACTAATCGGCTAGTCTCAACTTTTGCTTTTCAGCAATCGATTGTATGCCGAATTTCAGTTATTCTTGTAGTAGAGTGCCTTGAGAAAAGTTCAGATAAATGCAGAGTTTTTTGATTTTGCCGACGCGTTTCGTGCTATTTATTGAAATATAAACACTCATCAGGATACTCTGCATTATAAAAACAAAAAACAAAATTATTTGAATATGAATTGATCCTTCCATAAGGACAAATAATAAAAGTAGTATTTAGTCGTCAACAGTACGATGATTTCATAATCGATATCTTCTCTTTTACAATTACAATCGGTTACAATTAAAGCTAAAGTGAACTGATTATGAACCGGATCTATATTGCGAATTTGTTTTTTGACATCCAGAAGATCAAATAATGGAGATGAATAATTAAAATCATATGTATCAACTAGTTCTATTGGTATTTCTGTTGAAGAGAATCTAGGAACTAATATCGGAGAAGATGTAGGGGCTGGTTAATGTTGATAATGATTGAGGACGAGTAATAACGGCGGCAAGTTCTTCTTCATTGTCGTAAGAGGGAAAATTGTTCTCTAATATCCAATTTAGTTCTTATGGAGAAGAAGAAGGTAGTAAGATACTGTAGACTAATAATATAGACTATATCCAAGGATCGATTTAGGTAAGTTATTTGTTGATATAGTCAGCTTCATGGATGATGATAGACTATATCCGAGGATCGATTGTTTATTGATATAATCAGCTTCATGGATGAGGATTATTATATAATATAGACTATATCTGAAGATTGATTTATTGATATACTCAGCCTCATGAATAATGACTATTAACCCTTGGAGATAGTTTTCAAAGATATTTTAGCTACTTGTTCAAGTTGTTTATTCTTCGAGGATATCTTAGCTACTTGTTTAAGTTATAATTTAGTTATATAAATGTATTCCATATATGAATAGTGATAATATATAATTCCAATGGATCTTGTTCATCTGTTGATGTATAGAGAGGAATTCGATTAGTTGGACTTTGATTATATCAAACAATATTAGCAATTAATATTCAATACTATTGCCGTAGCAAGTTATATACATTCTATTGTTGGAATATTAATACCAAGGGGGGAAAAGCTGATTCTGGAGGTCGGAATCAGCTGGAATCAGTCAGAATTAATGAAATCACTCGGAATCAATCAGAATCGCTTAGAATCACATAGAACCTTACGGAATCACATAGAATCTTATGGAATCAAACGTAAAAAAATGCCTGCTTATACTCGCCAATCAGGTTTTTTCATGCCGCGGTCTCGGCCAATCACACCTTTTCATGCAGTAATAGAGATGAAATCAAGCTATTTCGAAACCTTTCAGAAAGCTTTCAATACATCCACTGACAGTCGACGTGCGCACTATTAACTGATTTCAAAGAATCGCATCACATTGGTCTCGAATATATTCATTCATTCAACTGTTTGATGCAGAAATGACGATGTAAGTAATGGTTTTAGAAGCATTCGAAAAGAAATATCTAGATTTCGGATCTTAATTAGATACAGCAATCTGTCAATATTTTCTAGTAATCAATACAATTAATCAACAGGTTTCTTAGACATACATTTCTTATTTAATCGATTAGAGGTCAATTTCAATGTATGAATTGGTACTTGACACGATACACAAAATCTTGCATAAAAACAGATATTTTTAACCCGATTAATCAATCAGATGTATAAAATATCATTCTTTTCTTTTTCTGTTTTTCAATGAATTCTTAAAGATTTTATTTGATGAATAACTCAGAATGCATTGGAACGAGACCAATTCTGAAGCTTCATCGAACGCACTTTGAACAAATACACGAAATGAATAATAAAGAAAAGTGAGTCGTCCGTGTATTCAACTATACATATAAAGATAAGGAGATGGATCGACGAAACCTATGACATACCATGTTCTTCATTGCCAAAAGTCATTATTTTTTAGGATTTCTAAAGGTAAAGTGGCTAGTTCCTTGATCACTTCTATTTTCACATCGAGTCGTCTGATACCAATCGACAAAACTTGTTTCCATTTACTTCGAGGGTGTGGATGTGGGTGGGTGTGGGTATGCGTGTTGATGTGGACATGGCTCTCGATGTGGGAGTGACTGGTGTAGACTAGCCCCTCCCACTTTTCGGATGTATCTGTGAAAATTTTCTGGTTAGCTAGCTATCTGCCAAATTTTTTAAGCAGTCTATGACTTCTGACACATTCAGAAGACAGTCTATGTTCAGTCAGATCAAGTCAACGGACTAAATCTGGCAAATTCGGCAGTCAGTCTGTAATTTCTGTTGAATCTACCAGATAGCCTGTGGCTCCATCGGATATAATAGACAATGTAGATCTGACAAATTTGACAGTCAGACTCTGGTTTCTACTGTACTCACTAAACAATCTGTGATTCTAACAGATTCAACAGACAGTGTAGGGCTGGGAAATCTAGTAGATATTCTGTGACTTCTGCTAGATCTGATAGGCAGCCTAGTCCTCGCAAATCTCCCAAACAATCTATAACTTCGACCGAATCTTGCAGAGAGACTAGACTTTACATCGAATGTGAAGCCAAATTTGAGTAAACTTTGCTGTCTGTAATGGCAATCTGAGTTGACTTTTCGTAAAATCAAGTCGCGGCCGACTGTGATTTTAAAAAGTAAGCTTAAAAAACATTTCTCTAAGGACTAACCGTCACTAGCGTCGCCACCTTCGGTGGCAAATATATTGAGAAAAGTCTTTGGAATATATATGAAAAGACTTTTTTCCGGAAGTTGTAAAGCAAAGTATGACTCTTAGCAGTCTGAGAAAAGTTTTCGATCCTTGCGACATTGCTTTTGATTCTGTACCAGTTAGTGGGGTTTGCCGAAGTCTACATTTGACAGGAAATTAGATTCGAAGCAAGAAGAATTTCGTGGAACTATTATAGTGGCAAACATTTTATACTGCTTCTATTCTGAAAAATTCTTTACCGATTGTTCCCTTCACCCCATTTGAATTTCCAACTATGTCTGTGAAAACTTTTGGATACTGTCTGCAAAAAAAATTTAGCCCCTCTCACTTCTGAAAACTATCGAGAGTCTTGGATGTGGATGTAGCTGTGAGTTGGGTGTCGATGTGCGTGTGGTTGTTTGATAAATTGCAATAAACACGCCCACACCCATACCCACCCACGCCGATGCCTACACCCACCCGCACCCACACCCATACTCACACGCTTCTATGAAATCTTTGGTGATTCTCGATACTTTTATTCTTCTGGAATACAGAATACATATATTTCCTTCTTGAATTGATTGGTGCTTGTCACTCCTGCGATATCAACATTGACTCGCCAGAATGTTGTTGAGATCTTCGTTCAGCTTCTTGCTTGATCATCGCTTGCTGAATTTGCATCGGTAGACCTGGACTGAGACTCAAAGCATACGGCAATAATGTTTTGGGTATTTCTCCAAAATCAACCATAATTTTAATAAACATTGTGTCGTCTCTGACATACGGATTTCCTTCCTGTTGAATCGCTTCTAATGAGAAAAATTTTGGTATGCCACTGGCTATATTCATGTCCGATCGAGGTCGTTGAAAACTACTTGATTTAATGTCTGGTCGAAATGAATCGATAATATGTCGTTGTTGAGGAGTTTGATCGTACAAACAGAATGTGACCTTATAATTGAACGGAAACTTGAGAATTGGATCGTTCAAACCTCGCATGAGCACAAAAAAGAGCGACATATGTGTACGACGAGCATTTCCATCACCATTCAAATAAAGGCGAGCTCTCATTTTATACCCATTTGGAGACGAATAAAATGGGGATGAATAAATTGATGTTTGTCTTTCGGACTGTGCATCAACTAAAAATTAAACCAAAAAAAAATTATGTCAAGAAGAGCAAAAACAGTATAGAAAAGGACGGGGCGTATAAGCTGTAGAAAATGGGCCACTAGGGATTTATTGACATTTTATTGACAATTCTTTCTAGAGAAGTGAGGCAACTTTTATTTAAGCGGATCTAAGTAAGGATGTGGGTGTGGGTGTAGGTAAAGATCTTTCTTTTTCTCGCCCACACCCACGCCCTTTTTAATATTGGGACCAACCCAAAACTAAATGAATTATATATCAGTTTGTAGTCCTTGCTTCGCTCTATCGAACGGTATATAAATGAAACTGGTTCGCATGAAAAAAAAATTCAAACGAATCAATATTATGTTAGATAGTATGCAATAAAATCATGTTCAATAGGATGTCCAATAGAAGAGTGGTGTTATTGATGACCTCGGTAGTTCGTAAAAAAAATAACAGTCTTTATATGAAAGGATGCAGAATTAAATTCTCTTGTTAATGAAGATAAATTGAGGTTTCAATATTTTCAAAAGCTTATCTATTTTGATCAAATATTGAACTACGATGATTACACTTAGAACACATCAAATATCCCAAAAAGACCTATATGATATTTTACAATATTTTCGCTTGAAAATAAGCCTCAACATGCATAGTTCTACTTAGATCTGCTTTAATAAAACTTGCATCGCTTCTTTAGAAAGAACTGTCAATGAAATGTCAATAAATCCCTAGTGGCCCATTTCCAATAGCTTATACGCCTCCGTCCTTTAGTTGATCGACAGCAGTAATGATTCATGTTGTCAATTCATTTATATATTACTCATAGTTAGTATTGGAGTATAATTATATATATAATGTTGAATGCAACGTTGAATCAATTAAGTTTTATTTGTCGATGTTATAGAAACCGAATAATATGTTATTCTTTGGTCATCTTCTCGGTAAGATTTTCTATTTTTATCGTTGGACATAGAAATAATCGGTCATCTTACTCATTTTCTCGTGGAAGTTTCCTATTTTCCAAACGAGTGTTCCATCGTACGATATATATTGCAAATCATTGATTTTTTCTTGCAATGATAATAAATCTTGGTTAAGAATGGCTTGATTATGTTTGACTCCTTCCAAAAAAGCATTTGACTCTTCAACAGATAATTTAACTTTCGATAATTCTTCTGTCAGTGTTGGAATAGCCGTTTGCATTTTTAGTGCTTCAGTGGCTAGGCGTTGTTCATCATTGGCCAATGTTTCTATACCACCTACTAAAATACTAAGCATTTCATAAAGCTCTTCTGATTGAGCTGTAGCAGAATTACAAGGTCCCGCAGTTGTTGTTCGAGAATGCTCAATATCCGTTTGTCTGTCGTTTAATTGTGATAACATTTGATGAACAGCATTGAGTAAAGCATGTTGATGTTGTTGAGTTAAATAATGATCTTGCATTTCAACACGGATAATCTAAATAACATGAATTTTTCTATATTGATTTCATCTAGAGAATATGCATACTCGTTCATTACAACCAAAACCTTTCAATATACAGTCAACAATGAGATGTCGACATTTGAAGACTTTATGTTCATTCAGTTTGTTAATTGAATTGAACTGTTCGCCGCAATATTCACATTTGCCATTTGAATGAAATTGGTCAAGATGTTCCTTTAGAACACAAAGAAAAGAAGCTTTATGAATAAAATAAATATAAAATAAATTACTTGATAGTTATTTAAGATCCCAGCCCACTGACAAAAAGAGCAATCAATGGGCAGCAATTTCATATCCATTTTGAAACCTCGATCAACTAGTATCTGTACAAAAGAAGTATATTTCCCCTTTAATTATGAAAAGATATCTTACGTCATTCCTTAACGATTCTGCTTGGCATTGCTGGCATTTAATTATCGTTCTTAAAAGAGAACATCGAACAATAATATTTCAAATTGATAATGAAACTTACTCTTGTTCAATATCTAAACATGTTTGACAATACCGATGACCACATTTGGGTAATTGCATCGGATCTTGTAGTATAAAGTTACACACAGAACAAATGTATTTCTGGTCCAGAATATGTTTATTTTTAGCATCGATACCTACCATGATTTAATTTAATTAATATGAAGTGAACGATAGATGTTAGCTAGATACAAAACCAATTTACTTCTATTTGCGTGATTTTTTTTGCTGTTGTTTTTTATTAGTCAAAATAAAAATAGAAAAAAAAGTTTAGAAATGTTAATAGAAGCTAATAAATAGATTACCTTTTAAACAAATAAACAAATAAAAATAATTTTTCGTAATCAACTGATGCAATAAATATTTTATCTAGAATTCACATATTAGCATTAAAATATGATAACGATTTTAAATTTTCAAAATAAAAAATAGTTAAGAATTTGATATGGACCCATTCACTTCTATTTGATCAGATCTTGCGTTGATTGTCGATGTGTTCAGTAAAATTTCGATTGTAAATCGATCATCACTGATAAAAATCATTTGAACGTCAATATGTATATCAAAGCCTTTCTCTAAAGTCAATAGAGTCCTGTTTAAAAAATGATTGAATTATATAGGCTCGTTCAAACTATGGTAATTATTCATAATTTGACTAATTTCAAACTAATATTACTAATATTGATGACGTTGTCAGTTTTTTTTTTGAATGAATACTTGATTATATTGTTTATTTTGATATTGATTCACTTCGTTGCATTGATTGGATTTGTCACAAGAAGTTTTGACAAATTCTCATTGTTTGTAAATATAAAGAAACCATATAGGTACTTTTCAATCACGTCATACTTATAATAACGAAATGTATCGTGTACAAATGTTGAAAGTAGATGATTCATGTGTGTAGGCGAATTTCATTCAGGGTGTGGGTGTGGGTGTGGGTGTGGATGTGGATGTGGGTGTGGGTGTGGGTGAGTGTAGGTGTGGGTGTGGGTATAGGTATGGGTGTGTGTGCGGGTGTGAATGATGGAAATACCTGGACCCAGATCCACACCCACACCCTGCTACCAGCTACAATTAACGTTATTTCAAAGAGTAGCAGCTGTTAATAAATATAAACAATTATTCTTATAATGTACACGTTCGGACAAAAGTCTTTCCCCCTTTACCTTTTTATGATGTCATACTTTGATTCAAATTTATTGTCGAATAGAGATATAACATGAGAGTTTTATTTCAGTATGGTGTACAGATCACCCTGTAATAAAACTCTCATGTCATATCTCTGCTTGGTAATAAATTTGAATTCAAGTATGGCAGCATAAACAGATAACGGGGAAAAGACTTTTGTCAGGAGATGTATAAATGTCTCTTGTCTCATCTGGTTTTATTTTATTCCTGTGATAAGCGTTTATTATAGTTTTACAGTTCTATAATATACCTATACAGTGTAGCTATTATTTGCCAACAGAAATTTGATGATTTGCTAATATTATTATGCTATTATATAGTTTCCAGTGTTTCCTAGCAAACATTTGAGTTTAGTTGTAAAACAACAAAAATCATTGCAAAAGAAGGGATTAAAAGACAACCCCTCACCTTGCATTTGACGCCAAAGTACTATAATAATTATGGGTCTATTCTTCATCAGTATTGCGTATTATGAATGTTTCTACAGAGACATGACAAGTATTATAGAAAAATATATAATTCATTTCAATTCATAGACGAATTTATGCCAGTAGAAATTCAAAAACTCAAATGGGGTACAACTTCTTTTGGAGTGCAAAATGGCAAAATGGGGTACGTAGGCAGCACTGGTAAATGCTGATCTGCTCTATTCTTGAATCCACATGCACACCGACACCCTAATTTTATTCCCCAGTATAGTAATATTTTTTACCTGTTTTTTTCATTTATGTCCTCATGTAATTTCATTCGATAGTAGAAGCCATTCATACTGAATCATATGTAATGTGATATCCAAAATAGCAGCGACCGTAAATATTTAAAAGTTCAATATTTGGCATAAAATATGTGTAAAGAGTAAACGACGTCATAAACAAATTTATACCGCTTTCTCGTAATATAGTTTTTGCTGAGAATGCTTTAAGGTAAAAACACAAGAACAGTTAAAAATATCATAATTAAGTGATTGATAGAGAACAGAAAAGAGTTATTCAAATAGCTTTTCTTCTGAACACCTATAACGAAAACTTCAAGTGCAGAATTATTTCATTTTTGAAAAGGATACATTTCATGGAATTGTATAAGGATGTTAATTGTCATTAGAAAGTATATACCCATATCCACACCATCACCTTCCCACATCGTCATCTATGATGGAACTGTCTGAATCAAGAAAATGTTTTTCATTGTGACATATTGGGCGAGTGATCCATTTTAGATGAACGACCGAGCGCTCAACGAATGGTTCGTTGTTTCACTATTATCGAGCATTTTTCAACATGTCAGTCACTATTGTTTGAATAACTCTTTCCAATTCCTCGCTATCTGGTTTGAATTTCAGTCGTTCAATAGAGTACCACGGAGAATGCCTATCTATATGGGATGCATTTGAAATAAAGTTTTGATAGAAAATACTTGATTGATAAGAGTTTTGCTGTGAATTTTCCTGAACGCTTACAAAGGCACAGGCTTGCATTACACCAAAAGAGTGCGGGTCTGGAAGTAGATTCTTGAGGGTGTGTGAGTGTGGGTGTGGGTGTTCCCAAGGAGAAAATCCACACTCACACCCACACCAATTTACATGCAGCCTAAACTCACCTTTCGTAATCCTTACTTACTGATAGTAATTCTCGCTATGATCTTCGAGAACGTTAATATCATACACCATGATAAGGTAAATGTTGTCAAATAAATATTTACTGCGCAGTAGACTATCATATATGCGATAGCACATAATGTTTTCATTGTCTTATCTGGATTGTTGCATGCATACAGTGTCCTCCAAAAAGTAATTTTTCAGTAACTAACTCATATCCTGCTTTCTTATAGTTTGCAGTCGGTAATTAGAGCATGGAATTATTGTTGTCCAAGCTACAAGATTTGCTGGTAATAACTTGTGCACATTGACTAATACATTGCTGCTTTCAAGGTTGTACAGAATATTACTTTTTACTAACAGTGAAAGGGTTTGTACTGATGAGCTCAGAAGTTGAGCATTTTGAGGTCAAGCGATTACTTTCGCCGAGACACTAACAAATTTAAAGTATGAACTGTCATTGGAATGCCTGAACAGCGATATTCAATTTCTAAGCCATTCATTATTTTGGTATAGAAACATGATAGTATATAAACTATTCACATAAACTTTTTAGCATAGCCATCAGATTATTGAGATAGTGACTTTCTAAAACCTTGGTGAAACTTACTAACCATATTGAGGCTCCGCTAGCTACAACTTCTTTTGAAGTTTCATAGTACTGTATTAGCAAGGGTGTGGGTGTGGAGTGTGGGTGGGTGTGGATGTGAATGAATCTTCGAGAGAAGATCCACACCCCTAGCCACACTTACACCCATACTCATAGCGGCACCACCAACCCACACACCCACACCCACAACCATACCCACACTCACACCCACCCACACCAGCGCCCACACCCGCACCCGCACCCACACCCGCACCCATACCCTAAATTCACTCTTTATTGCATCCTTTCAAAGAAAAACTCGAAACATTGAGGGCAAAGACTTTTGCACCTTACTGTATCTCATGATTTACAGTCGTTGTTTTGTACTTTTCCAGTTCATCATGTCAGAGTCATGGGTTAATTAAAAATAATAAACTAGAGATCGTGGAAAGTGCAACTTTTTCGAAAGGAGGTGTTGTTCTTCACCATAAAATCATTTTATCGAAGACATGAATTTCATATAGACTTTCAGAATCGGAACGCTAATAATCAATGTGCGGCTGTGGTTTGGTCTGAATATAAAATGTACACCGACACCCATCCATGCCCTGGGAAATTTAGAATTAATTATTTCATATTAGTTAATAAAATCATTTTATCTCAAAACTGATGAGCATTAAAGGACTTGAGAAAATTTTCCAAACCATAAAAAGCTTGCATGAGGTGTATTTATAGTTTGATTTAATTTAGTTTGAACTGTTGGTTTTGATATTCCTGATTTGTTTATTTTTTTCATTTTCATCATCAGTTATATTTCTATACTGACAATGAAATAATTGACTTTTAATTGAACCACGAAAGTTAAGTTCACACGATTCATCTGTTTGTTTTCATGCTCCCTCACAAACGAGTAATTTCAGTGATGAATGCATATTAAAAAGTAAATTAATTTGTCTATTGAAGTGTGGGTTTGGATGTCAACATTCTATAAGCTTGCATTCACATCCTGTAAATGATCAATTAACATTACAATGGGCCTAAAGTAATTTTCACTAGTATTATATTCAATTTAACGAATATCATGCATCGAAAAAAGAAAAATATAGCTCTTACATCGCTCTATTTCATGATATCTTCGTTCAGGATAGGCAGTAGAAAAAGAGTCACATACGAAAAATTTTATATTCTGTTTTAAAAGACATTTTCAATGTGATTAAAAGTTCATTCTGCAATAGTTACTCCACACCAAATCATTATAACGTCATTTTTTTTTCTCGTTGAGTTACAACCTTTTTCATCATCTGAAGAAGCAGTGAATTACATTTTTCAATCGTCAGCAAGATTTATACAATCCTTGTTCTGTGCACACCTATAAGACATTTTTCTGTGCAAATAAAAGTAACTCACTATGTAGTCTATTGAAGAGAAAAAAAGAAAGCAAAAACAACAATCTATTACATGAAAGCTTCACAAGTTATTAAAAAAGATTCTTTTTAACGAACGTTTCTTCTCTTTCAAAAAATACGAAATCAAAATACTTCCATTTTAATATTATTTTTTTCTTGTCAATTGTTGATATTGATTATTCTTTATTTCAAAACAATGTCAGTTTCAAAATTAGAATCACTTCCAAATGAAGTATTATGTGATATAATTGAGAACTACATAGATGGTGTTGATGCATTAGCAACTTTTAATCCTCAATTTAATCGTCGTTTCGATAGCCTCATTTCTCAATGTTTACGTCTTCATTTCAATTTCATTCAATGTCAAAAAGAAGATTTTCATCTTTGTATGAATCTTTTACCAAATTACATTGACAAAATAGAAGAATTATTTTTATCAGAATACAACACACCTGGTCAAATTCGTGCTTTTCTTTCTATTTTTCCATCATTCCAAATCTTTAAACGACTTCGATTACTGTACTTTCATTTTAATAAGGACGCTATCGACTGAGAAATCGCTGAAAGGGCTCTTAATTCATTATCCAATACTAGAATTCAGACTTTGTCGTTGAAATGGGTCGACACAGGAAAAAAATATTCATTGAAAAAGATTATCACCAATCTTTTTTGGTTAAAATCTCTTAAAAAATTATCACTGTTAGGCGATGGTATATCTTTTCACTGGGTATCGTTGCCACCACATTCATCAAATCTCGAACATTTAACTATTAATGGTATAGCATGTAAATTTATTCATGTAGCATCTATTATGAGGTGCGCTCCCCGTCTTCAGTATCTCAATGTCCGACTGACTAGTGAATTACCCGATTCTTATGAAAGACAGATGTTCTCGAACGGAATTTTAAAAATCTCCATACTTCGTACTCTAGTTTTATCTTTTGAAGAAAGAAGCCGTAGTACAGCAGATATATTAGAAAATTATTTGAAATATATGCCTCGTTTGAATCGTCTTGAAATTAAAGCAGACATTGAACTTAAGAATGCAGATACATGGCAGTTCTTGTTGGGAAAATACTTCCCATTATTAACGTACTTTACTCTTCGAATAACTACACATCATATACGAAAAGCAGATCTCGATGAATTACTTGCATCTTTTCAAAAACCATATTGGATAATGAAAAAGAATTTCAATATAACAATAACCAAACATGAATTCTTACATTTTGATAGATTCGGTATTGAAAATTCGAAGCAAGATATTCAAAATGAATTTCATCGACCTATTAGTCAATGTTGGATAGCACCCGATCGCATCCTAAGTGATAGTCTTATCACAGTAAACAAAAGTATCAATTTAAGACTTGTAAATATGACTATTATTAATTGGCGCAATTACTTTTTTAATAATGTGAAGTCTCTTGTAGTAGATGATATGGATAATTCTGTATTGCAATGGGTCTTAACGTATGTAAATTATTCACAAATTAGGGTACTCACTGTGATACGTTCACAAGAAAAAAGCAATGCATTAACATCGCTGTTGACATGTCTAAAAAATATTACTGCACTTTATGTAAGTTATGATGAACTTATTAAAAATATTGATGCGTTCATCAGACGATGTAATACTATAAAATATCTTGACATATCGTTTTCTGAACACGAATTCAATGAAGCAGATATTATTATTATTGCTCAGTGCTTTCCTCACGTCGAACATCTAAGAATTAATACACCCAACTTATACAATGTTCCATTATTAAAAAACTATTTAATGCATATTCGTAGTCTTACTTTTGAAATTACAAATATCACGCATAGTTATCATAATATTAATGAGACAAGCTTACGTAAAATAAGACAACAATTAGAAACTGGTTTGTCATTCCGGTTGAAGCCTGAATCCGTAGTAGTTTGGATGGTTGAAACCGCTTTCGAAAAGTCTTACTGGGAAAAATTTCGCGAACAATCATCTCAATCAGAGGCTTCATCAAATCAAACTCTACTTGCAAGCACTTCAATAATTACTGATACTATCGACAAGAACAAAGTCAAAAATTCGATATTTTCGTTTTTCTTAAATTTATTCAGCTAGTCGGATGTAGAATTTTGTTGGTTTAATGATATTTTGAAAATTGCCGATCAATGAGAGTGATTCATTGCTGACTAATATTTAATTCTAATAAGCTATTTCAAAATTAGGAATAATTTAGGAACAATCAATTATCTATTTAGTTTAGGATAAAGTTTCTAGATAAATTCAATTTTCTAATTGTATGCATCGAAATTAGAACGAAAAAATGGATTCTCCTTCGACATGATACCGCTACCATGATTAGAATAATATTGAATGATTTAGAATCACAAACGCATAGAACTGCATTCACTTCACATTTATTCAGGGTGTAGGTGATGCTTTGTGTTGTTTTTGAATCACTTCCGGTTCCCACGCCCTTATAGTATCTTCTATTTAAGCGCAAGGGAGTACGTTATAATGAAAGAAAGTGAATAAAGAAATATGGAAAAGTAACATGAAGCAAACAAACTTTCTTGACTGTAGCGAGGGTCATGTGAAATAAAATGAGGGTGTGGGTGAGGGTGGGTGTGTATGAGTTCATCTTCTCTCAACTTACGCCCACATCCACACCCACACCCAAAGAATGCTTTTGTTAAATGCAAGCATAATGAATTTTAAAATCGTTTCAGAATTTCTGAGACACCCTAGTTATTTCTTTCGCAGTTAGAGATTATATTTATGTATTATTGGTTGAAATGTCATCTAAATCAAGAAAATTTTAGCATGAAAACATCTTATTGCTCGATGATTATATAGCCAAATAAATAAGATTTGTTAAGTTCTTTTCATGAGAAATCCATTTAAATCATCCGACTGCATAGATTTTTAATATCGAACAAGTCTAATTTATCACCCTCATCCTCATCTGAATGATTGAAATTCTAGGGTTGACATATATGATTGTTTAGGATCTATATAGAAAACATTTCGTCAGTTAAAGGTGTAGCACACTAGACTTATTCTAAATAATCACCTTAAATCTACACGAACATCCATATATACATGCAAACAAACAAATATACAATCGCATTTTCTTTCATAAGACTCTATGGAGTCGGGAGAATTGCCTTACACTTTCGCTTTCATTCTAATCTGTTGTTCCACATTGTTTATTTGCGACATGAAAATAACAGATGAGTAATATACGAAAATGGTCACGGTATAGTGTGGCAATAAGGGCATTCTTATAGGACCACACATGAAGATATCGAATAGTGCTCATAAGAGTTACTGACTGTTAATATGAATAAAGAAAAAAACAACGGAGTAGAAGGAATCTTGATCACCATAAGGTGTCTTATGAGAGTATTCTAATGTGACACAGTATACTAGCAACAAATTTGTATAGTACCCTAATTATGCATCATTCACGGCGTCGTATTTCACTATAATGAACAGTAAATACAATGAACTATATGCAGACTTCCAAAAGTTATTTGATCCGATGAGCGTTAAGCAACATTGTATGCTACATATATACTCACCGTGCAAAGGCTCCACATTTAATCGTCTCAGAAAAAAATTAAATCAAACATTGAAAAAGTGACGAGTGTCGAATTGATCGGTGACAGTGGCCCGAAGGCCGAAAATTATGCTTCAGTCGCATAAATTCTGATTTTGAAATTGTTTTTAGCCACCGATCGCGGCTCGTTTCTTTTCTTTCCTGTCAAAATCATATTTAAGTTGAATGAAATTACAGGTTGTGCAATCCTTTGGTGTCCTTCTTTATGTTACAAAATTCAGTATAGATATTGTGAAAATACAATGATATAGAAAGAGAGGAATGAAATGATATAAAAAATAGTGCCGCTTTTCTATTTGACTCATATAAAAAAAGTAAAGCTGAATACATGAAAAAATATTTTTAACAGTAGATGTATTTCTGATAAGATTTACAAAAAATATATGCATGATGTGCATTACCATATTTTATCACAACAAGCTTTCATCAATATATATATATATATTACACCGCTTATCCCTGAGATCTACTTTATCTGTAGGTACAAAAGGAATTCTAAAAAAGGTCTTTCAATTTTGTAAGTCATATATTTCGAAGACGAAACAATGAAAAAAAACTATTTCTTTTACGAATCGATAGCTTATGGATTTTACTATACAAAATGTTTTTAAAGTTTTTTTAATCCAGTGCTCCCTTTATTTTCTGCAATCATTCTATGAATAGGTCAAAAATGACCTATTTCGGAATAAAAGGTTAAATTATAAAAGCATAAGCATTTTATTATAGAATAATAATTAAAATTTTTTACTCTTTTTTTTGTAAAATACTAGATCAAAGATAGTCATTAATCTAAAAATATATATATGCTTATATAATAATTACTGCTATGTTTGTTCATCATCAAACGTTTCAATTACGTCGAATAATTTATTATTCATTTCTCTTCCCTTGTATTCTACTTCTCTCATAACGTTTGAATTTACTCACCGACATAGACAACGATGAAAGAAAATCTACGTCTTTAAAAAATAAAGAATCTAATCGATTGTGACAGATTATAATCAGTCTTAGTTGATTTCAAATGATTCTTAGTCTGATGATTATAATCTATTTTGTCAGATTAAAAAAATGATTCATTTCTAAATCGAATATACAAAAAATAACGATTATAATCTTCAGTTTAATTCAAAATTAATTACATCTCAAATCGATGAAGATACCTAAATGAATTCTAAAGAAGTGCTATATGTTTCCTAGAATAGTGATCTGATACTGTTTCACACCCAAATGATAGAGAAAGAAGCATTTTTTTTAAAAATATATAGTTCATCACCAATGAATCAATTATTTGACCTTAGAGATATTCATTACATTGATCCAATCTTTATCAAACTAAGACGGACAATAGATTTTATTTAGAACGATCGAAAGTGTGTTTTGAAGTTTTTCTTTATCTAAAAACTCATTTATTTGTCATCATGAATACTTTTTTTTTAGTTTACTCTCTGCATTATGATAACGACAATCTTCTTTTTATCTCGAATATGTAACATCTTTTTTCCTTCAATGAATGACATAACATTTCTCATTTACTGTTTAATTTTGTTGCACTAAGATGGTCTTAGTTTTTCGCCTTCTTCATTTTCTCTATTCTTTCATTAGAACTTTTTTGTATCTTCTGTCCTGTGATCGATATTTTTTTTGCGATATGAAGAAAGTAAACAAGAATAGAAGCTAAATAAATAGTGTCATTTGATTAGAGTTTAAAAAAAAAGAAGAAAAACGTCCTTTACAAAGTAATGCTGCCACCTTTGATGTAGCGATAAACATACTTTTTATAGTTGTCTTCATTAACATTCGAGAATAAGAGAAAAATTCTCAATTCTTTTAATATTCTACAACTGAACGGTGTATTTATTACTAACTTTCAGCAGATCTCGACACGATTAATTTATATTTGGAAATTGAAAGGGAAAAAAAATGACAGATAATATCAATCTGATATCTTCTATCAATCATGCTACAATGCAAGTTAATCGCCATGGAGCTGCACTCATGATTCTGTTTGGTACCATAGGTAATCTACTCAACGTTTGCGTTCTACACGGGCATTCTTTGCATGAAACTCCATGTGCAATCTATCTTTCCTGGTCATCTGTGTCAAGTACAGTGCTTCTTTGGTCAGGATTATTAACACGAGTTCTACAAGGGTAAGTTATACATAAATCATGTAATATCTGTCGATTAATGAACTCTGTTGTTTTCATTCCAACGATAGATTCGAAATTTTTTATCTAAAATGGATTTGAAAAAGAATTGACATTTTAAGTCTGAAAGTATATTTAAAATAAACTATTTATTGTAAATAAAAAAAATGTTTTGAAATAAATGAATGCAATTGACAAGTAAAGTTTAGTCGTTTTATAAAATTCTTCAGTTCCATTCATGACATTATGGTAACAAAAAAAAATCTTTTTCTCTTTGATTTCAAATCTCTGATTATGTAGAAGAAAATTATATTGAACTAAACATTCAATTTGTTAAGTCTTATGAAAAGCTCTGAAAGCAATAATTTATTACATGCCATTTATATGTCTTAGTGAAGATTGATTTTTAAAACAAGATTTTTATCCTCAACTATATTGTAGTTATAACGTCAATTGGCCAAATCAAAATCCACCTATGTGTAAAATTCGTCTGTATATTCTTAGCATCAGTTGGGCAATAGCTACTTGGTGTCTTGTTGGAGCAAGTATTGATCGATTCTTGTGCAGTAGTCCTTCGGCTATTTATCGTCAATGGAGTACAAATCGAATAGCAAGACGTTATGTGATCGGAGTTTTCATTTTCTATGCACTTCTATTTATCCAAGTATTCTATTGTTTCGAAGCAAGTGTTCCTAATGTTCCAGTTGCTTGTTATGGTCGCAATCTTCCTTGTCGACTTTTTAATGATTGGGTGGCCTTAAGAGTCGATATTGTATTGCCTAGCCTTTTTCTAGCCATTTTTGGTGTATTAACTATACGTAATGTTCAAACACGAATGATTCATCCAACTGTACATGCAGTTAACTCAAACAATACAAACAACAATAGACTACTAATGCGAAACAAAGAACGCAATCTCACTCGAATGTTATTAATTCAAGTAAATTTAATTTTTTTTTCCACAATTTCTATTTATAGTCGTTCTATATACTATGGAAAAAATATATCAGTCAATTGTTTACTATTTTATCTCTCCAATCTTGTGACTCATATTAAATTTTAAGTCCTACTCTTTTTTGTTTCAGCTAATATTGAAAGTATAACAAGACGCAGAATAATAACAATAATAATAAGATAAAGGTGATAGGGAACATAAATGTTGAGAAAAATTCTTGTTGACATATAGAATAACATCGATCATTCTTGATCAGAGATCTTTTACCTTGATTTGATTATCATTTTGAAAGAGAAGAATAATCAATAAGAAATTCTTTTTATTGTTTGCATAGAATTGCTTTTTTCGATGTTAAAACTAATTATGGAAAAAAAATGAGCAAGCATTTACTATCTTATCGATGTATTAATTTAAAAAAAAATACTTTTCAATATACTTTCTAGGTATTGATTGTTCTTCCTTTGGATTTACCATTTGGAATATATCGTCCATATGCTAGTTTAACATCGGATGTTCCTAAAAGTACATATCGTGTGGCTGTCGAAAATTTGACGTATTCTGTGATTATACTTCTTGTCTATTTTACTCACTCAACATCCTTTTACTTGTACACACTCACTGGTTCAATATATCGTGAGGCACTAAGACGTATTGGACGTCGTTGCTTCAATCGAATTCAACCAAGGCATTAACATTTAATAAACATTTGAACAATGGATTTTTGTTGTCATTGTCTTCTTCTCTTTTTAATGGTTCAACATTGTCGCTTACTAGTGTTTGTAAACCTTCTATGATTGAATCTAATTCATTTCTTATCTGTTTTATGATCTTTATCCTTGTTTCTCTTTTACTTTTAATAAACATATTATCAAGAATATGAGAATAAAATTAAAAATTTAGAAAAGAAATAGATGATCATTTATCAAAATATTATTGAATTATACAAATAACTTTAGTCTAAAACAATTTCGAATTTTTGTATTCGATTATTCTCTCTGTCAACAATATAAAGATCACCTTGTTGATCAAATGACAAACCATTAAGACCATTGAATTGATTTGATTGTTTTCCTTGACCATTTCTACCAGCAACAATAATTCCTTCTTTTTCACCTTTTATCTATTTCATTACATGATGATTCTCACCATCTGCTATATACAGTGAATAATCTTTACCGACGAAGATAAAAGTAGGCTGATTGAGATGATCATCTTCTCTATTTCCATCTGCTACTATTGTTCCATCTTTATTTCCTATTTTTCATCGTTCCACTTCATGTTTTCCAGTATTAGAAACATAAAGATATTCATTGTTATCTATTGTTAGACCGTAACAATGAATATCAGAAATAATTATTTGCCCGTTTGTATTATTTGAACGAGACCATCGTACTATTCGTCTATTTGCTCGATCGAAGACGATAAAATAATCATTTTCTTTATCAATAATGATATCTATTGGATATTTTAACTGATTAATTCGATATTCTATCCCATTTCCACCTGCAACTATTTTCTCATTCTTTTCACCACATTTCCATTCAGCAATACAATGACTCCAAGAATCAGCAATATAAATCGTTTCATCGTCATCAATAAATATACCTGCAGGATAAGAGAGTTGATTTAATCCATCATCAAGCTCATTTTCTCCAGCAGTGGTAATTCCATTCTGTATGGGTGTAGGTGTGGTTTTAAACAGAAACTTCAGACACCCACATCCTGGTCTGGTTCTTTACTTCTACAGCTAACTATTCCTTTCGATATAGCCGAAGCTACAGCTAAATATATTCCAGGTGGTGAGAAAATGAGTCCAGAAGATGTTAGTGGTGTAATTGCACTTTTGGCTGGTCCTGAAAGTCAATGGATTACTGGACAAACATTACAAATGAGTGGAGGTGTTCATATGACTTAATACTCAAATTCTTTGATTTACTATGAATAAAAGGATAAAGTTCAATAGCTTTCAATAATCAGTTCACTTTCATTTTTATTCTTTCAATAACTATACAACAATAAAAGAAATCAACCTAAATGTCTATTTATGGATTTGATTTCAATGTACCATCTTCAATCATTCGACATCGTCGACGATAATAGCAGCAGCAGCAACAACAACATAAACATAAAATCAAACAAATACCGATGAAAACCAATAATGATATCCACATGTAGAATGCAGCTTTTGAACATTTTTCATAATCGATTGGTTCACTTGGATGATCAACATAGACCACATTATTAGCACCACTGGTCACCTTCTCACTTGAAATGGTGCTACAAATGGTGACAAGAGTACCCATGTCTAAAAATATCAATGATTGAGTCGAATATAACAATGAGATCAATGCGTCTATTTATATACTCGACATGTCTTTTTACAATCAGCCGGCAACGGTCATGAATAGCTGATAATGATGACATTGTCTTGATCGGTCATATCAATTTATTCAAAAATAGATCACTTTTATCATCAGGAAAAAATGTTCACAAAGAAAAAAAAAGCTTATAACCAAGTAATAAATGAATCCGATTGATTATCTTCTTCGTTATTATTCATTGCACGATAACGAGATTCCATTAATCTTTTAAATGATCCATCAGCATATTGTTTCCAACTAAATATCCAATGATTAGCAATTGAAAAGAAGACCATTTCGACACAAATTAAAATATTTTCTAGAAGAATTCTTTTTTCTTCAACTGTAAATCCCGTTGTTGAACCATTACAATAATTATTTATCATTGGATCACATGTCACATTTCTTAGAATTTTCAATGCTACTAATCCACTCATGAAAACACTTTGCCAAAAAATAAAGAAAACAATTAATTTAATCACAATAAATTTTGCTAATGGTTTAAATGGTTTCAATGGTTCTTTCGTATTATCATAGAATGCTACAAGACTATACAAAGCTAATGTTTGACTGATATTAATTATAATAATAATATATGGATAACTATGTTTAAAATTCCATTTACCATTATCATAAATATCAGCAAGATTAAGAACAACAGCAATAGCTGAACATATTGGATTGATCCATGTATATTGTAAAAGACCAAATTTAAAATACCAAACCCATTTAATATGTGGTCGTAGTTTAAGACAACAAAATGGAAATGGTAAGTGAATTTTTTCTTGTGCTATAATTACTTGTTCAACACCACGATGACCACCGAGATATTTTGTTAATAAAAGTAGAAAATTATAGATAATATAAGCTTCAAAACAAGATTTAATAAAATCCATATAAATAGCAGAAATACAAAATAATATTGAAATCCATGATGTAATAGCATAGAGTGGTACCAAAGTTAAAATACGCATAATACGTTTTTGTGATTGATGATGTGTTTTATATCGAAAATGTTGAAGAATTTGTACAAATGACATGCCCGTAGCCACGAGAGCAAATATGCCACCAATAATAGCGAGAAGACTTTGTTCATGAACAGGATCTTTATATTTTTGCCATTCAACAGGATGATTTACCAACCAGATAATTAATAATGATATAGCACAACAAATAATAACGACAATTCCCCATGTCACTTCATTTTTCAATATAGATATACAAGTTTTTCTTGTATCACAATCTTTACAGGATAGTTTGACTTTCCACGCCATATTTTATGCATTGTTCTGATGCGTTTACCATTCAACTATTCATACGCAAATCGATCGAAGATAAAAAAACATCACCTAGTGTTTTTCTATTGAATATTAAATAGCACATTTGCAACGAATCTCTTTTGATATAGGCTGTCGAACGTCAACAAATGTTACACTTTCGTTTTTTCTCTTCGTCACATTTCGAAGGTCGTCACAAGAAACGAAGAGAAATAGAACGAACAAAAAAACAACAAAATTCTGATGAGTTATATCATTCAAGAAAACCATTTGGACAGACTAATGAAGAATGAAAGCAGGTTGTCTTACAATTATTGCCTTATCTACAGGGTGTTACATAACTTTTGCATTCCCCTTCACAACTTAAAGTATCAATGATATTACAAATGTATTTTATACCAAATTAAAGCGCGTCAAAAACTCAATTTATTGGTATTAAATGGTAAAGGTTATGAAGACCTTTTAATGTCGAATTAAAAAGATTTTCAGAAGTTTGATACTTTTTTGGAGTAGAAAAATAAGGTGGCAGTAGTTCAAAAATGAAATAAAACATTCTTCTTGAATGTTTTTACATGGTTCGATAGAGCTCGTCGAGCTGTACAAAACTGCATATTTCAAAAATATTTTAAGCCATCTATTTGAAATAAAAAATTCAAAAAACTACTTGGATAATCTCAAAAAATGTTCAAAAACTTCAGGGTGTGGGGTGTGAATTTAGGAGTGGCTGTAGGCGCGGGTTTGGGTGTAGGATGTAGGTGTAGGATATGGGTGTGGGTGTGAATAATTAGAGTAATCACGCCTAGCCACGTCTCACAACCATTCCCACACCCAACTTTAAATCTAAACAATCAATTTGTTTTGAAATCTAAGACTTCTTTCAAAAGATATGTTCCAGCTCCCAGTACATTACTCTTTTCAAATTTTAGAACACTTTCAAATTATGAACTGCAAAGTCACAAAAAAATGGGTGAAAATTATGAGCTAAATTACTTCGTAAAACTTAAGACTCTATAACATTTTCGTAAAATGTTGCTCAAATAGTGATGATCAGTCATTTGAAAAAAGAAATCGTGCTTTTCAAAACGCACTGATCTTTAAGGAAGAATCTAGAAAATAAAACGTATGCTAAACTTTTCCTCCACTATAATGCACAAGTTAACAAATATATCGGAGTATTATATTGAGATAGAATCGATGTGTATATTTTTTTTGGAACAAAACAGAACCGAACCGAACCGGTCCCATCTCTGATAGAGACTGCATGATAAAAAGAAAACAATTGAAGATATTTGGTTGGTGTAATGGTTTCCCATTTTTTTCATAAGCTTCTCATTTAAAATATTATAAAACTGTCCGAAAAACATCTACTCATGGCCAATCTTATATCTCTCTTTCTTTCGAAAGATTTATATTCAGAGATATTTATGTCGGATATTAACTATAATAACAAATCTGCCTGTTCTTAAATTCAATTTAATCTCTCATTAGCTGATAGATATTTTATTCTATAAACCTATTATAAAAATTCATAAACTCCATGATGGATATGTTCGTAATAGCTTCATATTGATTTTCAATTTCATTTTCTTGCCAAGAACCAAATGGTAATTCGATCGTATCTGTCTGATCGATTGTGATTTGAACGAATATTTTAAGCTTGTTTTCATTTTCAAATCGAATAATTTTAAATTTTATTGGCAATTCATATTTGCTAACAGTGAGAATATCATCATTATAGATTATTTGATTATTACCTGACCATCGATTGTTTTCATTTAATGATCAATGAATGGAATCAAAATGAATGCAACAATTGACAAAATGATATTTGATTGTATTGATCAAGGATGCAACACGAATGAGTGGTTGTTCACTTGGTACCATTGAAATCATTAGTGATTCTTGAAGACTGTTATCATAACTTTTCATATTTGTTATTAGTTCGATTATCAATAGAATTTGATAGTCAAGTTCATTTATTGACCATTGTAGTTGAAGTTTTGCAAATCCACGATCAAATATATATGTAAGATGTCTCCATAATGAATCGAATTTACTTAAATTTTGACCTAAAATTGAATCGATTAGTTAGACTTATGATGATGAATAACAGTGAAATTGGTTTTTTACCAGCTATTTCTTTTAGCTCATATTGAATCGATTGGATATGTTCATTCAATTCTTGTGGTGCTTTTCCATCTTGATTTCGTGAATCTTTTGGTTGATGCAATGTAATCATCCAGAAGAGAATAGTACAGATGAAAGTCGCATCAATGTTTTTACTCTGTCGTTCGAAATCGATTTGTTGAATTTCATGATCAATATCATTATTTAATGGATTATCATTTTGAGACCAGATATTATGATTCTTGATCTTCTTCTCATCAATATGAGCATAATCAAAATCGATTAATTTCAATTGAATCTGATCGCCTTCGATTGAATATGAATGATGAATAAAAATAGTTCTAGGGGTTAGATTTCGATGAACAAAATTTTTTTCGTGAACTTCTTTTATCAAATTGATTAATAATGAAATAACTTTAATAATTTCTGGAAATTTACATTCACGAGGGAAGTACCCCAACTGTTTAAAAGCTTTTGAATTCGGACTTTATGCATAATGCAGACCCCAATGAGATATGGAAAACCTCAAATGGACAAGTGCCCACAGGCCTTCCCTACAAAGTTATAAGCATTTTACTGAAATTTTAGTCTATGGTATTGTATGCACTAAAGAATCGAAATGACGATATTTTGAGCTGAAATTTTGCCCACAAATAGACCTACTAGTAAATAGAATGTCCTGGAAATTTCAGGTCAAAAGAATGTTCCTTTCGCGAGATATTTAATCCTCCAAAAAAGCATGAGATTCTGGAATCTTTCATGGAATATGAGAGATTTTTGGGAATTCAATATCTTGTGAAAGGAACATTCTTTTGACCTGAGATTTCCAGGACATTCTATTTACTAGTAGGTCTATCTGTGGGCAAAATTTCAGCTCAAAATATCGTCATTTCGATTCTTTAGTGCATACAGTACCATAGACTAAAATTTCAGTAAAATGCTTATAACTTTGTAGGGAAGGCCTGTGGGCACTTGTCCTTTTGAGATTTTCCATATCTCAATGGGGTCTGCATTATGCATAAAGTCCGAACTCAAAAGCTTTTAAAGAGTTGGGATACTTCCCTCGTCAGTTTGAGTAATATATTCACTAAGTGGAATACTTTCGATAGTTTCCGTCATAATCTATAATTTTTCAGATGATTTTGGACTATTGTTTAATCTATCATAATTACAATCAATTAATTTTGGTATGGGTGTGGATGTGGGTTTGGGCGCGGCTTGGTGTCTCCGCTAATTATCTACATCCACACCCACACCCAAATAATGCTTAATACTGTGAATAATGATTCACAACATACCGTTCAATACCTTAATGCTATTCTTTCTTCTTATGCTTTTCAAGCATCAGCACCAAATAAAGATGATGGTTTGTATATTAATATCAATTTCGATGTCTCCAACTAATTTTTTGTGTTTTGTGTAGGTTGTATTCTTCTCCATGGATTTTTCTCATTGAATAAAAATATCCTTATTCCTATCTGACGATCTCCATCTGGCAATTATCTTTTATTGATTCCATTAAGCTAAGCATTTCTCAGTACTTCGAAACATATTCGAACATTTCTTCCTGTACCGCTCGTTTCATTCGATATTAGACAAGATGAGTTTTTTTAAATGCTAAAACGTCATTAAGAGACTCGAGAAGTTGATCATGAAACAATCTCAGCGAAAATTCATGAATCCATTCTCTTGTTTGATGAATTCATTGGATTACTTCGTTGGTTATGTACAAGTGATGTTACTAATAGATCTTATATCAAAGAAATTCTTTCGGACATATACTATCGTGAATCCTATCAATCATCTATTATTCAATTAGAAAAAAATTAAATTTTATGATACTTTAAATATCTCGTCTCTTTCGCTTCCATCCAATATCTTACCATCTAATGTTGTGAGTCATATATCTCGAGAAGATTTGCAAAGACGATTATCATTATCAGGCTTATCTGTGAAAATTTTAATCAACTTGTATCTTCTGGGTGATCAACAACATCTGTTTGAGAATGAAACGACATCGAGAATTCTTCTGAGCTTTATTTCGCAACCTTGGGCTCAATTCAATGAAAGTGAATCAAAAAAAATCAAAAGCATTCTATCCAAACTGAAATGTATTCCAACAAGTCAAGAAATGAAAGCATATACAGAATCCTATATCCGTTCATCGAATTTATATGCTAATTTATCCATTATTACACTGTATCTTCCACGAATGCCCAAAAGTGATACAGAAGAATCTACGAAGTATTCTGTATCAGTTGAATTTCTCGAATCGATCGGATGTAGAACAATTCATGTGCTAATGATGACATATCATGTAAGTAGTCGATGGACTAATTCAACCGATAATGGCCAAACACTGGAAAGTTTTATTCAAGATTTATTTCAACAACGGAAAAATATGAGTGACACAGATCTTCAGGCATTAAAAACTAATCCATGTCTCACAGGTTAGTTACCATTTTCTTTCCATGACACTTGTTCAATCCAAATTGAGCTGACAAGTTAGAACTATACGTCTATAACATCATTCAGTTTAGACAATCGTGAAGATGCGAACAGAATGTTATTTTTCAACAGATGGAAGATTTCTCTCTTACTTCGTTGAATTCAGGGCTAAAAAAAACTGTCCCTCTTGAGTGCACTGTTTTTCAAAGAATCAACAGTGGCAGAATGTGAGAATTTTATGAAACGAACCTCAGACCATTACAGGATTCTTTTTTTGTCTTTTGCTGCTTTGTCTATTGGGTGAGTAGAGTGACCTGATATAGTGAAGAAATTACTTCTATTTTTTCATATATAGTAGACTTTAGATAGTTAATGCGAAGATTAACTATTCTTTATTAAGCATGGGCGATTTTACGCATTCTAGTATAGATAATCTCTCCGTTTTAGCGCCGCTCAGCTTACCTTCAGGCTATAAGAGTAAAAAAACAATGACCAATAGCAAGAAACCATAGACATGTCTTTTGCAAGACCTGTTCAAATCTTGCTAATAGCTTTATATGAGTAGGTACCGTAGGGTGTTCAGTAAGTCATGAAACAGACACAAAAATGATTGAAATCTCCGCCATATTTTGACCAAATTGGCTGATATTTTTATCACTGATAGAGAAGTGTTCATAACTCATATTCATAAGAGAAGCATTGACAAAAATTGTTTTAAAGTATCACAACTGACTTCAACAAAGAACTGTAACCTTTCACTGGTTATGAGAAAACAATATATTTATTCCCTAGAAAAGAACAAACGATATATCTAATTTTTTCGATTACTTCTCTACACTAATGTCGTTTAGTTTCATATTTATATCATAGATACATGTCTGGTTACTCTGTGTACGCTGAAAGTTTCAACCATAAGCAGCATGAATTTGTTGAGAAAAGTGCAATATTGTTTTTTTTCATAATCAGTAAAAGGTTATAGTTCTTTGTTGAAGTCAGTTGTGATACTTTAAAACAATTTCTGTCAATGCTTCTCTTATGAATATGAGCTATGAACACTTCTCTATCAGTGATAAAAATATCAACCAATTTGGTCAAAATATGGCGGAGATATTCAATCATTTTTGTGTCTGTTTCATGACTTACTGGGCACTCTATATGAGTCTGCTGCTTGTTAATCGGAAAAGAAACATTTTCCTTATAACTCTTTAGTCTCTTAACAATCATCCGGTCGATAATTCAAGCTACCTTTGACGAATTGTCACACATTCAATCAAAATGTACAGTACATATATGATCACAGTAGGCTATTCGTTTGTTATGATTTTTGTTTTACTTATCAACGGTGCAACAACATAAAATAAATGTGGCTTGGTAGAGTGAAAAAATCTCTTTCAAATGAGCCTCAAACAGAATCTTCAGTAACTTGGGAAATGTCTAAAAAAAGACGAAAGCATTTTGATCCATTTATTGTTCGTCATCGTTACATTTCTGTATATCTTTGACAAGATTGTAATACTTTAAAATCAACATGAACTCTTGTTTATATAACAATGTTCTCGAGCCAAATCTCTGTTTTATTTGTTTAAAAAAACGTAATGTTATACATTCCATTGCCTACAACCATTCGAAAGACGAACAATAATAATGAATGTTGCTTTTTTTTAATTGTTAGTAATCGTTCATGTTGTAGGTATTTCCACCTGTGGTTTAATCACTGTCCCTCGTCGAATTTCTCCCCAACCAATCAAACGAAAATCATAATTAACACGACGACTTAAAGCAATCTTTTCAGATACTTCAACACAAGCTGGACTTGTTAATTGAATTTTAGCTAAATTATCTTTTATAGCTAATACTCGACCACCGGTACATACTGAACCAATATTAACCATTAACATTTCATTTTTAGTTAATTTAGCAACCTTAAAAAAGAAAACAAATCAGAATCTAATTTTCAGTAAGAATTCAAATCAACGAACCTTGGCACCCTTTTTATCACCTTCAGTTCGTACACCAACCAAACGTCTAAGAAGGAAATAAATTATTTGAATTTTAGTATAAATCTCTGGTAATGCACCAACTTCACCAAGTACCTGACCAACAAGACGATCAGCTCGACATAAAGTCGGATCAATTTTTGTTCCAACGCCAATAAGTCCACCAGGTACAGCAAAAGCCAAATCGTTCTGTTCAGCATAGAGTGAAACAATTTTTGAAAGAAGTGGACAACATTGAAGACGACCTTCATTATCTTTTGATACAATACCAGGACGTACTTCAATTTCTTGACCAATCTATTATCACTCTTTTTTTTATCAACTGAAATTCGAGAAAAAAAACTTCTTACTTTCAAAATGCCTTTAAGAATACTACCACCGGCTACACCACCTTTCAGATCATCAACTTTGGTACCGGGTTTATTAACATCAAATGATCGAATAACTACAAGAAATCAAATGTTATTTCAGGTCTCACTCCTCTTCAAAAATGTCAAGTTTCATTAAGAGAACGTAATTTAAGATAAATGCATAATCAAATACTTTGAAGTGTGTACATTAAGTATCAATATGACTCTGAGATCTCTTCTTCGATAATTAATAGTATTCAGATCAAATACTCTATGTAAATGAGTTTGTTTCTAACAAATTTTTTTTTTAAAATCGCAGTAGCCACTAAATTTTATCAGCACTGTCAACTAATGTATCATATGTCTGTAGGTATATCAGTTTGTATTTTATTACTATACAAAAATTTCTGTCACGTTTTTCTCAAAACGTAAGTTCTACGATGCGTCTTTAACGGCATTCTATTACAATACGATATAAAGTCAAATATTTTTTTGAAAGCTTATGTTTAGACCTTCATGTATTTCGTAAGTCTTTTCAGTCGTGGTGTCTGGATGCTATAGAAGATCGGGGAGACCCAATGTAAGTAGCATAATTATACTTAGGACACTTCAAAAGTAGTGGCTCAGATATTGTAATTCCTTATAATAAGCTTTAAGAAACTTTCTTTCTATATAGTCTGATAGAGAAAAGACTGCTCTATTTGATCATATTTCAATTAATATCATAATAATAAAATTTCGATAAGATCTGTTTTCCCCGCATGTATCACGGTATCAGGAATGCTGGTGAGTATTTTTTTAAATACGTTTTGATAGAAATCAGATAGAGTACTGCAGTTTTCACCGCTGGAAAGAGGAGATGAAGATGCATCGATCTATATATTACAGGTTTTTCTAATATTCGTTTCTGAAGTATTTTTATTCAATTTTCTAACTGTCGAAAAAATGCTTTTTTTATGAGACAAGAAAAACTACAAAAAGTGAGTTTTTTTCACAGAAACTGCTACAAAGTCGTATTAGAGGCTCGACTAGAATACATATTATTCATCTCACTCTTCAGTAGTTTGTAGATCTTCGATTATTGGCTTGAATCTATACTTGATAATTGTAAATTCACTGTAAACAATTTATCACATTAATTTATTTCTAAAAAGGTTAATTGAAAAGCTTACAAAAATCAGATCAGGAAATTTTGTAATATACGATTCGATGCGTCTTCATCTCCTCTATCTAACGGTGAAAGATCGTAGTTCTCTATTTTGTTCCTATCAAAAGTTATTCAAAAAAAAATACTCATCCACCTTTTTTTAAAATGAGCGTCGATGGTACCGCGACACACACGAAGAAAACAGATCTTATCGAAATTTTATTATTATGATATTAATTGAAGTATGATCAAGTAGCATAGAAAAATAGAGCATTCTTTTTTCTATCAGACTATATAGAAAGAAAGTTTCTTGAAGCTTATTATAAGAAATTGCAATACCTGCGACACTACTTTTGGACTGTTCTAAGTAACTCCAACAGATAAAGAGATATGAGACTATAACTTTTTTCTCTGAGTAACAATTCATCCGTGCTTGTGTCAGCAAATGTATCGAGCAGCGGTAAAATGTGCGAAACATCTGTTCTCATGAACACTTTGTTTTGCATATAGTTCGGAGTATTTGTAAGAGAAAAATGGTAAATGAAAACTTATTCTGATTTTATAAGAATCGAATGCAGGATTTACTGCCGTGCCTGTTACTATTATCTGCTTTCTTGATCATCTTATATCAGACAATAAAATATATGTTGAAACTATTGTGATTCACAGGGAACGGTCCTGTGTTCTCTCTCCTGCTTCTGAAATTCGTTCACGCATACGAATACTCAGGTATGCCCCTCATCATTTACCATTATCAATATGTCATCTTTACCTATTCAAAAAACCAGCATTTACTATTATACGATAAACTTCATTTTTGTACATTTCGATCCACTATTGTTATGAAGAGAAAGTGTATACGTACACATTATGTAAATAAAATTTCAGCTTAATAGTCTGTGGATTATGTTTTGAGGACTTAATATAAAAATCTTTTCTTTCTTACCAATCAACCTCGGTTTTGATGTAAAATCACGTAGTGGTACAGGAATTTTTCTTATAATATATTCGCAAATAACTTCAATATTGTATTTAAGTCAAGGGGGAAACAGCGGACTTCAAGACTTCAAGACTTCAAAAGACTTCAAAAGACTTCAACAGACTTCAACCGCAGTGACTTCATATTTTCACAAGACTTCAAAAGAGTTCTAAAGAGTTCTGAAGACTTCATAGGACTCCAAATGACTTTACAAGACTTTATAAGACTTCGTATGACTTCATGAGACTTCATGAGACTTCATGGGACTTCAAAAGACTTCGTTAGACTTCACAGACTTCGTGAGACTTCACGGACTTCATGAGACTTCACGGATTTCATGAGACTTCAGAGACTTTGTAGGACTTCTTGAGACTTTATAAGACTTCATAAGACTTCATAAGACTTCACAAGACTTCATAAAACTTCACAAGACTTCAAGAGACTTCACAAGACTTCACGAGACTTCATGAGACTTCATGAGACTTCATGAGACTTCATGAGACTTCATGAGACTTCATTAGACTTCATTAGAATTCAAGAGACTTCAAGAGACTTCATGAGACTTCATTAGACTTCATGAGACTTCATTAGACTTCATGAGACTTCACAAGACTTCACAAGATTTCACAAGACTTCACAGGACTTCAAGAGGCAGATTCCATGCGTATCAAAAAAACCTTATAGAAATTACATGAAACTTCTATAACATGCAAAAAACAAAACTTATCATATAGAGATTACAAAAGTGTTTCTTGTTTCTGAGAATTGTTTCTCGCAGTATATCCATATCTAGAATAAAGATGTGACAATGACACAAAGCGTTGATGAAATTAAAACAGAGAAAATAAACTTTACTGGTATGTGTATGTTTGAATCGATTAATCCAGCATTGGAAAACTCCTATTTTCAGGTGCAAATAAATAACAAGACTAAATTTATACACAAGCAAACGACTTGTTGGTTATTGACCGACGAAGCTAGCCGTTTATCGGCTGATAGATTATCACGAGTGATAGAAATAAACAAAAAGGAATAAAATTCTTCATAAGATTGACATCGAATAAATGAAACATTTCTTATAGAAATAAACCACTTCATTCAAAAAGCATTCAGTTCTTAACTATCATGTTTTCTAAGATCCAACAAACTTGAATTTTTTCCAGTACCTTGACAAACAAACAATAAAAAGTTCACCTTTCTGCTAAAATAAGACCGTCGAAAACAAGACAATTTCATTGCTTTTTTATGAATTTTCATGCACTAAATGTATTTCAAAACTTCCATAAGAATTCATGAGACTTCAAAAGACTTCAAGAGACTTCAAGAGACTTCAAGAGACTTCATTAGACTTCAAAAGACTTCAAGAGACTTCAAGAGACTTCAAGAGACTTCAAGAGACTTCATGAGACTTCATAAGACTTCATATGACTTCATGAGACTTCATGAGACTTTATTAGACTTCATGAGACTTCGTGAGACTTCATTAGACTTCATGAGACTTCATAAGACTTCATAAGACTTTATGAGACTTCAGAAGACTTTATGAGACTTCAGAGACTTCAAGAGACTTTATGAGAATTCATGAGAATTCATAAGACTTCAAAGAGACTTCAGAAGACTTCGAAAGACTTTCAAGATTTCATGGGACTTCACGACTGAAGTCTCTGCTGTTTCCCCCTTGATTTAAGTATTGCACTTATCTGTATAATTGGAGCACCTTCAGTATTTGTGCCTAGAAAATTTCTTTATATTCAGAAGAGACAAATACAAATAAAGAAGTTTTCAACCTTTAAGAAAATCAATAATTTGTTGATATTGTTCTTTTGCTTGAACTTCTTTAACAAGATCAATTTTATTTTGTAAGACCAATATTGAATTTAAATTCATTATACTTATAGCTGCTAAATGTTCAGATGTTTGTGGTTGTGGGCAAGTGTCGTTAGCAGCTAGAGAAAAGATTTTTTGGTTTTATATATAATAAAAATAAATGAAGATTTATTTTACCGATAAGTAAAAGAGCAGCATCCATAACAGCGGTACCGTTTAACATAGTTGCCATAAGAAAATCCTGACCAGGACAATCAACAAATGAAACATGTCGAACAAGACGAAATTGACCGCCACATCTTGGTCGATCACATGGAAATACATCTTCTTTACTTGGACCAGCTGAACGAAAACGTCTGGGTCGAGGACATTTATCATTGTCACATTCGAATATCTATTTGGTGATTATATAAATAAAATATATTATTTAAAAAAAAACAAAATACTTTGGCGTTGGCATAACCTAATTTAATTGTCATATTTCGATCTTTTTCACTTTTAAATCGACCTGTTGCAGCACCAGATAAACATTTAACAACTGTTGATTTACCATGTGCGACATGACCAATTATACCAATATTAATGGTTGCTTGTCGACTAATCACTTCAGGTGTTAATGGTGATAATTGATTAGGATCCTAGAGAAGAAAATGGAAGAATTTTCCAGTTATTTTATATCTATTCTAACAACCATTTCAGCTAGAGATTGTTTGGCCAAATGTGGTTGACCAGATATCTCGTACACAGTCATGATTATTTACGTTTCTTTTCAAGTGTTGTTTAGATTAATGATTCGAAAAATAAAAGATAATTACGCAATTTTTATAGTTGTCGATTGGATGAACTGAAATTCTTCATCAACAAATCTGTTTGAGGATGATGAAGCAGTTGAAATGGTACATATGCTTTGGCAAACTTATATGAAAATCACCATTACATTCAAATCAACTCTGTCTTTAATACAGAGTGAGAGCAGCGAAATAGATGGCGCTCAGTAACAGTCTGTTATAACAAAAAATCTAGTGAACATAAATAAAGGGTGTCCCAGAAATTCTGAAGTAATTTTAAAATGCACCGTTCTCACGTTTAACAAAAGCAAACTCTTTGAAACTTTGACTGATTATTGGAGATATTTAGTGCTACATTACTACAAAGTTTCAGCTCTATAGCTTGTATTATGGATGAAAGCCAGTGACAACACTATCATGTACTATTTTTTCGATTTTCCTGAATATCTTGGTTATTATTTTAAAATATACAATTAATATAAATAAAAAGAAACACATAATAATAGTTGCTAATGTCCTCGCAATTGATTACCACCTTGATTGATCACTGATTTTAATCGTGCTGGTATGTTATCCATTATTTTCTGACATAATAAAACACTAAATTTGTTCCGTTCCTTTTTAATATCATTTTTTAATTGTTCAATATTATTGTATTCGCGTCCTCGTAATTTTTCTTTTAAGGCACCCCAAACGTCGGATAATTTCGTAGCACAATTTCTGGGTCCAATTCGATTAGTAAAAACATGTTTAACGGCATCTAAAGACACCTGCATCCTTTGTTTACGATCTTGATCATCTTGAAAAATAACATTTCGTAAAACACTGAATTCTTCAGCTGCTTTTTCTGCTACAATAGTTCGAATAAATTTTGCATATCTTTCGCCAGTAAAATACATTTTCTTATGATGATCATCACCTTTTGATCGAATCGACTCTAACCATTCATCAAGAAAAATGGGAGATTCCTTTGGAAATAATCCTTGGTACGAAATCCCATCCCACAGCATCACACTCTTTTGAAATTTTTCTTTTGGTTTGGCTTTTAAATTGTATAGAATATCATCAGATGATTTGGCATAAACACCTTCATTATGTTGATTATAATGTGGAGTTAATGTAAATGTACCACTAAAGTCCGTGTTTAAAACATTATTCCATTTATATAATTTACCTCCTTTCTTAGTTCCATAATTCTTTTTTAGTCGTTTCGCAACGATAACATGTTGGATTTTCGGATCGACTGCTAGTTTCTGTACCTTTTGTTTCTTCCACTACTTCAATTCTGATTCATTTTTGGCTCTCCAAATCGAACTCTTTGATGTTTTAAAACCTTGTTGTTGAAGTTTCGCATTGACATTCCTAACGGATGCATTTACTTTTAATTGAATAGCTTCTTTCACTGCTCGAATATATCGATTTGTTGTTGTTGTACGAGGTGCACCTGGTCTTGGTAAATCATTTACTTTGTTTCTCCTTAAAATTCTCCAAACTTTAAGCCATAAAGATTTCGTCGTTGTATAATAAGGTGGATTTTCGGACTGAAGGACAAATCTGGTAATTTCTTTTGCTTTCCATGATGGATGCAACTTTTTTAAATGTAAAACGAGAGAACGGAATTCCTTTTTGTCTTTAGGAGGTGGTTGATGTGGCATTTTTCGTTGATTCATTAGTTATGCACTCATGTTGACCTTTATATAGTCTTGTTATTGGCACGTGCAGAAACAAAAATATGTTCATAAAATAAACATTTTAATGTTCTATCATGCACTAATCGAGAGGGTTGAAATAACATGTTTTCCTTTCTGCATCGAATTTATCTACTGGAAAATCGATAAAATAGTACATGATAGTGTTGTCACTGGCTTTCATCCATAATACAAGCTATAGAGCTGAAACTTTGTAGTAATGTAGTACTAAATACCTCCAATAATCAAACAAAGTTTCAAAGAGTTTGCTTTTGTTAAAAGTGAGAACGATGCATTTTAAAATTACTTCAGAATTTCTGGGATATCCTTTATATGAAATGCAATATGATCTGGGTGTGAGTGAGTGTGGGTGTGGGCGTGGGTATGGACGTGGGTGTGGATGTGGGTGTGAGTATGGATAAAGAGAAGTGAGTACTCACATCCCACACCCACATTCTTTCTATAAGTATAGATCAGAACGAATCTTAATAATGGATTCGCAAGAGATTATAATTACTTAAAGTTGATAATCACGATGAAAACAGGAACAAATACAGGAAAAATACTATCTATTGGTCTCTTATATCATGAATATGCTAACTTTTTCTTTCACCACACGAAACAAGACACTTTCAAGAGTATTTATGAACTTTATGCGTATGAAAAAAAAACTTACTATTCTCCATCATCAAATTAAAAAAAAATATTTGATTTGGCTTCAATTAACAATGGACATATCTTAATTTCTGAAGTGATCACAACTTTTGGGATACCCTGTACATTCGATCAGTTAGAAAAATTTTGCAGATATCGTAAATAATCACTGAGAATACAAAATGTTCATATTGTCTTTTTTTAATTTCTTGATCGTTTTAATCGTTTTGCTATTGGTTGTTCTGGACTAGCTTGACGTTTTCTTAACTTAGAACTAGATTTTTTCTTATTCGTTGTAGATAAATGACTCGATTTCGATGAGTTTGACTCAATAACGTTCAACATGCATTCATCATTTTTAATCATAATTGATTCAGATAAGAATGGTTCTTTTTGTTTCTCTGGTATTGTAATATCTACAATTAATGGTGGATAAATAGGTGATGATGAATTGGATGATGGTGATATTTGTGTTGTACATTTTTCCATGTTCTTGTAGGAAGTTGAATGTGTATTGATTGTTGTTGGATTTCGTGTATCATCTATGTAATATAAGTATGCATGATTAAAGATATTTCTTATCCATGACACATTACGCACCTGTGTTTCCGATAAAATTCTCTTGGTAATTGTTATCAAATGATTGATGGCCATGACTACCTTCAGTTTCTTTTAAAACGTTTATTGTGCTTGTTTGTGTATTATTATTTGTTGAAGCAGTTGTAACAAGTTGCATACTTCTTGTATGTTCTTTTTTATCAATATGAAAATCCCATTGTTTTAATGTAAGTCGTAATTGTTTCGAAAGAATGCTTGGCTCTTGCAGCAATATTCCATACAATAAATGAATAATTCGGTTGTGCGTACCAAATTGTAATTCGAATATAACATATAATGAAATAACAATGCTTAATGCTTGATTTATGGGTTTTGTTTGAGTGATCATATTAAAGTCCAAATACATATTAAAGGGTGGGGTGTGTGTGGGTGTAAAATAAATAAAATAAAAACTATGTAGTTCGATATAGTAAGTGATGCTCTATCCAACTATATCAAAATAAGAAATATCCCAGGTTTTGTATAAATACAGCAAACTGAACAAAACTGTCAAAAATAATGTGATCATGCTGTATAACCATATATACTAAACCCAATTTTCTTCCCGAAAATGTTATTAGTTGCCGCAGATGCTCGCGAAAAATTTGATGTTGATAGAAAAATTTTGAGGCACTACACAAATGTGTCAATCTAGTGGAATGAGATGCGAATGCTGAGCCTTTATTAGTCTACAAAGTTTGAAAGAGTGTAAGTTTTGGTATGCTCAGATCTTACGAATCCATCACCTGTTGTTGATAACAGATGAAATATGAATTAATCTCGTAGCAATGCACCATCTGTTAGAATCAATGAAAAGTTGAGGGTGGGTGTGGGTGTGGAGTGTGTGGTGCGGGTGTGAAGAGAAGATTCACACCCACATTCATACCCACACCTGCGCCCACACACAGCTATTTGCGTTCTTGAGCTATTCAAAAAACAGTGGAGCACACTATATTTTGAAACGAACAATATCTTCGTACTTTAATGTACTTTAAGTACGAAAGTACACTGTTGGTCCCTATATATAACGCCTTACATATAATGTGATACGCAGAGAAAAGAAGAAAAAAGCATATTTATTTTGTATAGATATACAGGGTGTCCCATAAATAACGCCCCGATAAGAAATTTAGATATCTCCGCCAGATGTCGACCAAACGAGCTGAATCTTTTATCAGTGATAGAGGCATAGTCAAAGTTTATATTCATAAAGACATGCCTAGAAAGACCCTTTTCTTAAGTATCCCTATTGACCTTAATACAAAAATTTTACTTTTTTTACAGATAGAAAAAAAACAATATACAGAGTAGCGCAAAAGTCACTTTGTCGAATAAAAAACTTGAATATCTCCATTACAGCTCGAGCAAACGAGCTGGATTTTTTATCGATGATAGAGACATGTCCAAGCTTTATATTCATAACGACGTGTCTAGAGAAATTCTTTGTTAAGTATATTGTTTCTTTTCCTATCTATGAAAAAGTAAAATTTTTGTGTTGAGGTCAATAATGATACTTAAGAAAAGGATCTCTCTAGACATATCTTTATGAATATAAACTTTGACTATGCCTCTATCACTGAGAAAAATTTCAGCTCGTTTGGTCGACATCTGGCGGAGATATCTAAATTTCTTATCGGGGTGTTGTTTATAGAACACTCTGTATATTTATCTAAATGTTTGTAGGTGGCAAGCAAAAGCATATAGTCTTTCTTTTAACTTATTATTACCTGAGTGTGCTTAGAACAATACAAAAGCATGGTTATTACGGTTATATTGTTTGGAGCTTTGATTAGCGTTTTCTTTTACTATGTTTGGACTTTAAAATCACATTATGAATATTTTGTACGACGAAATATTCCTGGTCCACGACCTAAGTTCTTTTTTGGTCATTATTTGAGTATGTGGAGTACACCTTCCTTTGATCGTCAAATTCAAAAATGGACTCATCAATATGGTCCTATTTATGGAATTTTTCAAGGAACACACCCGATATATGTTGTATCAAATGTTGATTTCTTACAAGAAGTATTCATCAAACAATTTTCGGTGTTTCATTCACGTCCTCAAAACATTCTTCTTCGAATGCTTAAAAGTGATGTAGCTAATTTATTTTCTGCGCGTGCTAATCAATGGCGACGTCAACGATATGTTATTAATCCAACATTTACAACAGGTAAATTGAAAATGATGACACCACTTGTGAATCAATGTATAACATCAATGACGAAAAAAATAGATGAAAATAATAATAATGAATTTAATATTTTTGCCTTATACAAACGGTTGACTATGGATGTTATTTGTAAGTAAACAATTATCATTTATGCTACCATCTATCTTGTCTATGATTCTTTTGTTCTAAATAATACATGCATACCAGCAAAGGAGAAACAGTAGACAAATGACGCTTAAAATTTTACAAAGTCTTTTGGAATATTTTGACATTCCTTGAAGTCTTTTGAACTCTTAGAGTCATAGTGTTAAATATCTATTGAAGTCTCTGGAAGTTCGCTGCTTCCATCTTGACGGACTAAAAATGAAATTCATCTATAGAACTTCAACTATATCAAGTCACAATATGTTCTAATGCTTTTTGAATTATTTGCTTTACTGAAAAGAATTATTTTTAAAGAAATCATCGATAAATTAATAGATGAAGAGCGATGACGAAATAATAGAAACTTTGGTCTTGATGTATTATGAAATTTCGTGAAGTCTTACGAATTCTTTGAAGTTGTGGAGTCATAGTTCTTAATATCTATCGAAGGTTTTTTGAAAATTTGAAGTATTGCCGTCCGCTGTTGCTTTCTCGATTAGGAAGAGCTTTATATAGTATGACAAAATTGTGTAATGCAGGTAGTTTCTTAGATTGAAAATAAAAATGCTCGATTTCATTTTACAAAGAGTCAAAATGACATAGTCAACTAAAACTATGATTGAAATCAAAGATTTTCTTACAATTAGATATAAATGGGATTTCCTGTGGATAAATATTTATCATGATACTATACTTTGTCTCTTAAGTAATATGTAGAGGAACAAAAAATATTGAAAAAGCTTTATTGTTTTATTTTAACAATGTAAACCTGTGTAACATTTCAGCACGTGGCTCTCATCGTTTATATCAAAGGTCACATGAAGACACTGTTTTCTCTTGTTTTTAATACGCTAGTCACGATTATCAAAAAAAAGTGTATATTAATTGTAGGGCATTGTGCATTTGGCATTGATACGGATCTACAAAATGATAATGATAACATGTATATGAAAAAATCACTAGCCTGTTTCTCTCGTGATTCAGAACAAATGTTCTTTGTGAGATTAGCTAATTTAATGCCATTTCTTATTCCATTATTAATTAAAATTATGACTAGTTCTATTACATTAATAAACTTTCTACATTCATTAATGCCATCAATGATGCATAATATTGAAGGTCCTCCTCAATTATGGATTGTTCAACAAATTGAAAATGTTGTTAAACAAAGATTAACAACCCAAAATAAACGAATAGATTTACTTCAATTAATGTTAGATGCATCTACACAACAAGAAATTAAAGTTAGTTATTAGATTTCTTCTATCAATTATGTCAAATAAACTATATATTTTGAAGTTTTATTTATTTAATAGAACGATAATTTAAATAAAAAAATATAAATAAATTTCATTTAGGATCATGAAAATAATGAATCAATATCAAAAAAACTTCAATATAAAGAAGTATCAACGAATGCAGCATTGTTTTTAAATGCTGGTTATGAAACAACATCACTTAATCTTGCTTATTCAACATATGAATTAGCTATACATCCAAATATTCAAACTAAATTACAAGCAGAAATTGATGAATATTGGAAAGATGAAGAAGAAATTGATTATGAAATAATTAATAATATGAAGTATTTGGATATGTTTATACGAGAAGTTCTTCGACTACATGCTATTACACATAGAGTTTTTAGTCGAGAATGTTCTCAATCAACAATTGTTTGTGGACATTACATTGAAAAAGGTTAAACATAGGAAATAGAAAATTCATCTTACTGACTTTTGCAGCAAGCTTTCGCTTTCATAGCAAAAGTCAATAGAGCGAAATTTATGTTATTCTTAAAAATAAACTTTGATTTGTTCGTTCAAAGTTAAATCTATTTATTTTATTTATAATAGAATTTTCATTGAATAGGTAGTATTATCCAAGCGGATGCATATTCAATTCATCGTAATATTGATTTATGGGGACCTGACGACCCGAACGAATTTGTTCCTGAACGTCATATGATAAAACGACATCCATTGGCTTATATGCCATTTGGTGTCGGGCCAAGAAATTGTGTTGGAATGAAATTTGCATTAATGACATTAAAAATTACTTTAGTAAATATATTACATAGATATACAATTTTACCTGGTGAGAAACTTGAACAAGGAATGAAAAGACAAGAAACTGTAACTTTATCGCCAGAAGCTATTTACATACGAATTGAAAAACGATCAAAATAATCCAATATTTAGTTTTCTTGATGAAATATGTAACATTATAACACCAATGGCATATTTCTTTTCTATATATATATATATATATATAACTCAAGTATTTTCACTATGAAATCTAACAGAACATTATCAAGATCTTTTTTTTCATATTCCATAAATTCGAAATAATAATTGACTCAATTATGAATTTATTCAAAGAAAATGAGAATTGATTGTTTAATTGATTTTTTTTTAAAGTAATTAAATGTTAATAAAATATTTTCAATAAATTGACATTCATTGTTTTGATTTTAATCAATTGAAACAAACAATTATTTAATAATAATCAAAATTTTATCAAGATAAATTAAAATTAATTGAAAATAAAATTTTTCTCTTCAAATCATTATTTATGAAAATATTTCTAAAGAATGAGGGTGTGGGTGTGGAATCGAATTATTTCAGTCATATGCGATTGACAGTGACTTCTTTGTTTATTATTGGGTTGTAACATAAGTTCTAAGAATTTTTTTGTTTTTTTAGGCAAATTTGAGGCTTTCTATCTCGTGACTAGAGAGAGATATGGATCTAAAATTTTCAGTATAGATAGATCTCTATGCGTTCTATCTACGTTAAAAATTTCAGACCCCCATCTCTTTTCAGTCACAAGATAGAAAGCCTCAAATTTGTCTAAAAAAACAAAAAAATTCTCAGAACTTATGTTACAACTCAATATATAGCGCTACAGTAGCTATACTAGAACGAACCTTTGATTGATTGGTTCATATAAGAGATAATCGCTTACAAAAAAAAAAGAAAAAACTTATATCTAAGTCATTTGTTTGTTGAGTCTATATTGAACGTTCATGTTGA